CGATGGCAGTTACTACGGCACATCAACTGCCTCTTAACGACCATGAAAGGGCAAAAAAAAATCCTTTTAAGCTTTTCATCAACTGAAAAGTACTACTGATCCAAAGGCTTCAACAACTTAATTAATTGTTCTATTTCTGTAAAGAAGTTAGAGAAAAAAGCCAAACGAAGCAGAAGAGGTGACTTTTTATGGCTTGCACAGTATGCGCCACATATCCACCTGTTAGTCAAAATCGTAACAGCGTTTGCCTGATTTTCGATCACTCCGGTATCCCCTAGCGATATACGAAACCAAATTGATATGGGATTGTTCTGAGTCTGCCTTATATGGCCCGTTTTTGGATAGCAAAGCACTTTCTCGAATTCACTGCAATTCTTTTGGTCATGCCAGATTCAACCAGAAGCCAAGAGAATAAATTATTACTTCAAGAAAAAACACGAAAAGTTCAACGGTATTGACAAAATATTCTAATGAACAAACCGGGCCTTAATTAATTTGATGGACCTGATAGGGAAACAAAGAAACAAAGGAAGTGACTGACATTGTTGAGAATTAATGATCCGAAACATGAAGGTGGTAGCAATAACTCTACCACTCATCCTTGCCAAAGACAAGTCACTGGGATCTCCTTAACACTATGATCAAGCACACTCCTAAAATTAACCATACACTTGAGCTGAACATCCCAACTCACTAATTAATAGAAGCCTACGAGACGGCAATCAATCCTGCTGCTTATGAGGGAGGAGGATTTGCATAAACCTAATTAGGAGGCACCCAGAAATGGTTTCTATTTCATAATAAAAAAAGGCAATCGGATTTCGCATCGCCATTGTTCAAGAAAAGCAGCGGAGAAATATGAATTACCACTCAACTCAGCTGGTTCAGGTATAAAATCTCATATGGACAAAGAAATCAAAGCGGGATTGAGTCGGAAGTTCTCTGAACTGAGACGAAAAAAATTCAGCCGTCGTGGGAGCTGCAGAAAACATCAGAGTGCGCAAAAAGGGAGACTCGGAAGAATTCTTAGAAAAGAAGCTTACTAAGTATAGGTAATGATGTGCAAAACACGCAAAAAGCTTAATGGAGCCAGAAAAAAAAACAGATAACAAAGAAACACAAAAACGTCAATCGTAATGTGAAGCATGATGCAAAAAACGTCATGTGCATCAAAGAGCAACCCTTCTCCGAGGACATGTCCTTAAAAATGATTTCTACATCGTCGGAACAAGTAGAAAAAAAAGTATACGGAAATAAATGGAGAGAAAGAAACAAGGAGGCGTCGACTCCTACGGAAAAGTAACCACCAAAAAGCAGTCTTTCCATCAGCAGGAGGAAGGGCCGCATAAATCGAAAAGTTGCGAATGAGAACATTCATGCAGAAAGCCAATACCAAGTCGAGGCGAGATTGAAACACTGACTTCAGGCGGAACAACGAAAGTGTGGATGAAAGGGGCATTTAGTTAAAACCAGGGATTAAGTATGAAGCCAATGAGGCAAGGCTTTGCCTTCACATAGCACGCCAGCCAAGTCTTCTACCAGCCGAAGCCCTCTGAGTGCGCTCCCAAGCCGTTTAAGAGCCCATATTCACACGCAACATCAGCATATCCACCATCAAATTCACAGCATTTTCAATGTCAAGTCTACTAGTACTTATCAGAACACTATAGCTATTCTACGAATATTTTCCTATAGTAAGTAAGAGGGTGATGAATAAATGAACAGGTCAAAAAACACCTAAAATCTACTTGCGCTAGGATGTGTAATATGATAAGCATTAGCGTAGCTTCCCCACCACGGGCAGATAGGAATCGAAAACGTACAGCTCAAGAAGCAAAAACTAGTCCCGCTTTTACTGTCCTACGCGAAAAAAAAACTTTCTAAAAAGTGGAAAGTTTCACCGCTTTTCCACCTTTTTACATGATCTTTATTAAATAGAGATTAATAAAGTGATACTGTGACATATTCGCACTTACGTTTGGTTAGTTTCTGAACACCAGAAGCAAGAATATGACAGCAATCAGATGGATATCATGGACAGGAGCTATGTTTACTAAAGCCCAAGACTTTCCTGATTTTATCCATCAAGGCACAGTCCACGGTAATTTTTGGCTACAGTAATGATGCGATTATTGCGTACAGCTAGCTACAGTAAGCTGCCTGTGTGCAACGTAGACGTACCGGTGCAAGCTTTCAGCCTCTAGAATGCCCCGAGTTTTCGTCCGCCCTGAATAGTAGTCGGTTAAACCTATTCGGGACCCCTACTGACGCAATGTAGACCGTTCTTCGATCCGCGTCCCTCGTACTACCCTTAGAGATCACAGGTTCATCTTGAGAAAAAATCTCAGAAACCGTTTTCATCGTAAACAGTGCCTTCAGTAAATTCCTCTTCTACGAATCAATCAAGACTACAGACCAATATTGAAGTGATGAGCAATTACGCTTTCTCGCCATAACAACCCATGGTGTAGAAAAGAAGCAAATTAAAAATCTAGAAAAGTTTTACTTGAATGCCGACTTCAAACTTGTGGATTATTATTTTTGTTATCATTATAAAGTACTGATACATTTTCTTATTAGCTCTTTCGACAATAATTTAATTTCAAGGAAGATACCAGAAGCAAGACGCAGTGTATATGATGAAATGATCTAATATGTACAAGTGAACCTATCTTTCCAAAAGAAATTTGCTTCCGTTCATTTTAAAGAGATTCTAATAGAGCATGCCCTCTTGTCTACAGCCAAATCCCACGTTTCATGATAAGAACACGCTATAAGAAAGAGACGTCAAGGAGTACTTGTCAAATGACTAAAAGCTCTTTCAGTAAGCCGATACCTTCGAGTGTCAAGTTCCACATCCTCGAAGTTCAAAGCGGTGAAGAAAACATGAAAGCAACAGAGAATTGTGAAGCAGGGGTTTGAAGGGTTTTATCACTTCTCTCATTTTCTCTCTTCTCAAAGGAACAAATATGAACATACCTGATCCGTGAACTGCTTTGGATTCACCAATTCCGTACAACCGTATGTGACACGCAGCAAATTTTTCGATTTCCCGTAATCTACTAGATTTTGGTATTCGACGTAATTACCACCGCCGATTACAAAAAGAATGACGTCCTGTGGAGGAGGTTGGCGAGCCCGAACTGCATTCGATGTGCTGCAAAAAATGATTTGGACACTGAAAACTGGAAGTAGCAGAAGACTAAGCAAAAATGAAAGGTTGATAATTGAAATGTGTCATCGATCTAATGAAATGGGGGTTGGGATATAACAAATCAAGTTTTATTCAAGAAAATAGTGGCGAATGCTGAAAAGCAGGGTAAAAGGAGCGGAGTGTTCGCGGCCAGCTCAAAAGGGACACACTGAGGATAGCGCAAAACAATGAAAATGGTCAGAATAATTTGCACGTCATGAAAAAAGCTCTTCTGTGATTTTGAAGGTGCTGTTTAAGTGATATGTAGTACATTCAAGGTCGTTTTTCGTGTCCTACAGAAACACCCTGCATTCTCACCCAAACAGCCCGAATTGTGATGGTCATCAACCAGATGCTAGAGCGTCCGAATTGTTATAATGCACTTGCAAACTGTTCTACAAAATTCCACTCAGTTAAATCCCAAATGAACCACTCTTGGACCATGCTCCATCAGCAACTTTACCAACTTGAACGATTGGGTCCTTATGCTCCCATACCCTCTCCTATAAGATAAGCGACCGGATAACGACTGAAAGTTGTCCAGAGGTCAGTATCATCGCCATATAGTCCATACGACTCTTCACCACAAGCTGGTGCTTTTGAGACCGAGCGACAGAGACAGGAGCAGCTGATGAGAGAAAAAAGAGCCGTATGACTATACGGCTGAAGTGAGAACGGGCCTTCTAGCCAGACTAGATGAGTTTTGGCGACGTCGAGTCCACCATAGACGGTGAAGCCCTGTGATGAGAGGACTTTTCTTTGTTTTCATCACAACTTCTGCTAGTCTGTCCACTGCGCGCTCCATTTCATAGCAATAATCTTCTGGTTCATGCAGGAGCAGCACTGCTGTTACGTCCCATCAGAAGCAGAGATAATTTTTATAGACCCAGGTCGTAAAGCCGACTCCCTTCTTCTAACGAGCACTCTTAGTAATGTAGCACTTACGTAAGCCAAATGTACCTTTAGGCTAGTCAATCAAGAAAAAAATTAGCGGGGCCTGCGACGAGGGGACTAATGCTAGGGAGAAGAAGAAGACTCAATAAATTGAGAAGTAGTTCACAATCATATAAGAGTAATACGATGACTTGATGGAATAAAAACAAATCATTTCTGTCTCCTTGGTAGTTTGGACCACTCTTGCTTAGAGGATAAATTTTACAGATTAACGAAACTTCGTCAAGTAAGACAAGTCAGATGGGAACCAACCATGTTTACAACCGAGCAGAGTTTCTATTTAATTACTGTTATAAGACTTTTTAAAACCTGCTGCCAAGATGTTAAATAAGTTCTTATTGAGAGTTGCCCAAAGGTCAGCATTATTATTATTATTACTACCATTATTTAATTGCTATTAATTAACTCCTGCTAAGCAAATTACAAACTAACTTGACTCTTCATCTTGTTACTCATTTCCAACTGGTTTTGAGAAAAATGCATAAGTGAATCGAACATCTATAGACTTACTCTCTTGTCATCGCATGCATCACTTTCGGATCGAGATAGCACAATTCACTGCTTTCATTCGTTTGTGCTGTACCGATCATCTGATTGATTCCAACTGTCGAAGATGACGGGGGTGTGACCAGGGAATCAACCATCTGAAATGCTCGTGAATTAAAAAAATATCGTCTTCCATGAGAAACAACTTTTCACTTCAATCCAAGTTTTCAGCAAAATAAAAAAGGACTAAAGTGATCCGTATCATCCAAAGCTATAAATTCTATCTATATTATATTTTTTTGGCTGAAACTCTTGCTCGTTCTATCTAGTTTTTAGTGATATCTAGTTTTTAGTGATTGATCATGAACTGCACAATCTGCCTAATTTTTTGCTCCACCATCCACCGACATTTATCATCCTGGCCATGTCTGGAGCTAGAAGATAACAGAGCATAAGTGGATTCGGCTAAAAGCTTCGTTTTATTTTTCGCAAAGAAGCTTACAACTATAGACATTGGGAATTGGGACAGAGACTCTATCCCAAAGGACGTTCTTCTTACTCGCAATGACCAAACTAACTCCGATGAAGAACTGGTTTTGGTATCTGGAATTCTACCACACTTCAGAACCCTTTTTCGCAGGCTCAACTGGCCGTAATTTGTCTAGTTTCAAGAATAATTTTTTATATTCTTCATTATACCCTCTGCAAGTCATACCTCCAAAGATTACTTCAACCACTTTCGCACGTGTAAAGTGCACTCCACCCAGAACTTTTGACTCTAGGAACCTTTTTTGCGATTGTGATTTCACAAAAAAAAACTTTCATAAAAGCATCACAAAAAAGCAGACGAGCGTTGACAGGTGCTAAGAGATCTTCATCACTTCATTGAAATCACTAGAGCCGTCACTGCTACTTTCACGTCACTCGGAGGGTCAATCGAAGCTAATGTGAGTCCATTTGTCTAGATTACTGAGTTTGGCGGGTGCTGCGGCTGAAAAGGGTTCAACTCGCCTCCCACAAATCCCCGTTTGCGTGCTCGGCGGAGTGCCTTATAGGTGATGCGCTTGAAGATTGTGAAAAGAGTGGGGGAAGCACGTCTTGGGTGAGGGATGCAATGTTTACGATTTACCTTTTTTTCTGAACCATAGACATAAAAAAGAGGGTTTTACATGCAAACCTTATTTCACTTCAAATTCCAACATATGCGTTTTCGCCAGTAGTCCCGCGTCCTTGAACTTTAAGAGGAAAAAGGAGGAAAGTCTCGCAGTCGTAGTCTCAATTTGGTTTTTTTGTCAAGTTCAAAACAAAACACCGCTACTTGTTTTGCAACTCGAATTATTGTTTTGATAGCGAAGATTATATTACGAACATAAGCTGAAACTGGGGCACTATGAACCCAGACCGCACGCAGCTCTAATCATATAAACTGCCCTCGAAAGCTGTATGGCTGAAAAAGCGTTTATTACAGGGTTTCCCTCATTATTGAACCTTCACTCATAAGGAAATCCTTCCCTCATGCGAAAGCCGTTTGAAAGGTGAAGCATATTTGTAGGTGAGGAAAACAAGAAACAATTGCAAGGGCAGTAACTTTGAAACAATGCATCCAGATGAAGGCAGCAAGCAATCGAGCCAAAGCTTCTCCCATAAACACAAATAAATCTGCTAAAAAATAAATTAAAAGCGAAGTCGTTGAAGTTAATCACAGCGTTTTGAGATGCGCCCACGTATTCGACTTCGATGGGGATCGTAACGGCGGTTTGAACGCGTGTGTACCCTACACAACGTCTTTTGGTGGGCCAGTCGATGAACAAGCCAGTGCTTTTGTCCTCCCAGACGAGTGTGGTACCAGTAAATGACCCCAAAGGAATGAAGGTTTGCTTGGTTGGTCCAATGCCAACGTACCAGTTTCAATATAAAAATTTTGTTATATTCATCTTATCTAGCAAGAGCACTAGGTTGATTCAAATGTCTAGATATATTTAAATAAATAATTAATTAAATAAATAATTTAAACGTTTTGAATTCTTTTACAATTTTGTCTCTCGCTCATTGAACTACATAATCATCGTTATCTAACAAGGGAAGGATAATTGGTCGCAGTGGCCATTCAAGATGAGATGTATAC